TCTCTTTACACTGCATTTGCTTATGAACATGCCACTTAGTCAAGATTTGGCTAATTTGGTCTTCTACGAAGCAAATGATAAACACTTTTAGGTGCTGTGGGATTTAAACAAAACTAAAAATTTCTTTTTTCTTTTGTTTCACATAAGCAAAAAATCACCTTTGATTAGTGAAATACAGCACCAATGTGAAAAGCCAGCTCTGTAACAGTGAGACATGGTTCTAGTGAGGATGATTGTATATTTGGGATTAAAATGCAGAGGATGAAATTTTGTTTCCTGAATTTGTTCCCAAAAGATTAGCAAATATTTAAGTGCTTACATAAAGGAAATTAAAATCATACTTTTTAGTTTAAATTTCAGATGAGCTTATTGTGTTGATATTCCAGTGTTTTTATTAATAATAAACACATTTAATAAAAATAACCTAAAAATATTTGAACTCTAGTATATATACTCACAATTTGGAACTGTAAAAATTCAAAATACATCTGAGATCAAATCCTGATCTGTAAACATAAAGTTTTTCAGGTTTCTTAAATATCAGCCTTATGAGAATGAGCAGCTGCCTCAGCAAAATAGCGTGCCTTGTGTTCTTGACAGTGGCTTGCGAGTGCTGGAGGATGGCTGTGTGGGTGGGTGATGATGTGAATGTCTGCGTGAAACTCTTGCATCTGCCTGTTTGCTTTTCAGTTCTGAGGGAGAGGCATTAAGTTTTTGCTATACAGGTTTTCTTCCAGAAGGTTGGACCGAGATTTGGATCGCCAGTAGTGTTGCCTCTCATAATGTACATCAGGCAAAGATTTCTTTGGGGGGGGAACATTCATGGTAATTGTGCAGTATTCCCAGTATCTCACATTACAGTCAAGATCTACTGACTGATATTACTGTTCTTTATTATCAAATCAATGGGAGCATCTGAAAAACAAATACCATATGCTTGAAAGTATCGTAAAATGTGAATTCTTGCAGTTGGTCACAGTCAGATATGTATAGCTTTAGATTTGGGTTTATTAAATCCATCGAGCACTAAAGGACGGAGGCATTCATACAGGTATGTGGGAGCCGTTCACTCCGAAAAGTGACTCAGAAGCCAACTTGGGGATGTAATTCTGAGATTGAATTCCAGTTCTGTCATTAATTGAACAAATGCAGGACATGCTCAGACAAAAGTTGAGAAGATAAGTTACTTCCTTTTTTGCCTATGTTAGGACTGCAAGATTGGTGTTTTTAGGTATGTAATACTGTGGTTTCACAGTTCAGGACCTAAAAAACTGGTCCATGGTGGAGGAGTTCAAGGACAAGATTATTGTAGCTGCTCTGTTCTGGCAACTCTGAAACAAAAATCTGATGGGTTTTTATTCTCTAAAGGATGAATTCAGGAAAATACTAATAACTGGCATGTACACAAGGCTGGGCTTAGATAACACAGTAGTCCCATCTAACTGTACTGTCCATGAAAGTTAACAGGACTCCGTTTGGAGCTATGACCACAAAATAATGTACAAAAACATGAGCTGTATTTCATCAGCGTGTGGCTTCTTTCTGTACAAAGCATTTTAAGTACAGAGCCTCTAATCTGGTCAGAGTAAAGAGGAAAGAGTTGATACCACTAGTTAGGAGAAGCATGATCTGCAGTCACACAGCATGTTCATAGAGTTTGGAATTAAGAACTATGGATTAACAGGTGCCCCTCTATAGACAGGGTTTGTTCCTCTCCATGTCTTCCCCCTAGTTTTCCCTCTCCTTGCCTGATAAATGCAGGTGCTTACTTAAGAAGATGTTTAGACGAGAGCCGTAGACACTGAAGAATGAAGATCCCTTTGAGATGTTTGTTCGTTTTACTCATGCGTGTCCCTTATAGCATTTACATAACTGGTTCCAGTATCACTTTTTCAGTAAAATCTCATCTGGCATAGCAATAGTTTTTCAGATTTTTTGCAGAACTGAAACAAATCTTCTGACATTATGGTCAAAAGGCAGTTTAGCCAACTGGGTGACTCTGGGGTTTTCCTCGCACAATAAAAATAGCTTAAACTGATTCAAGTAAACCTCTGCTAGTCCAATCAAGGAAATACATTGTATATGATACTTCTCAAATGTTTTCAGTGGATGTAACTCTGTTGAAGTCAATTTGAGCCAACTCAGTATCTGACCAAAACATATTGCAGAATGACAGATAAAATCAAAATCTTTCTGTCTCCAGGTCTAGATTAGCTTTTCAGCAGTGCTTCAAGTCAGTTCAATTCTCTTTTCACCCAGCATTTTTCTGCACCGAAATAGATTAATCTGCAAATTTGCAGTTTATTAGCTGAATGTGTATTTCAGACTTCCTGTTACATGGCACTGTCTAGCTGCATCTTATTTTTCAGTCCTTTGTCATAAATAAATGGACAGTTGTGGTTGGACTACTTACTTAGGAAGTATAGAAAGTCTTTATTTTTTTATAGTTTTTATGGATAAGTATCCATTTGCATATACGCTTTTAACTCCCATTTGCAAACTAAAATTAAAAAATTAGCTTAGCTCCTGCTGAGGCCTATGCAACTTGGCTGTTAATCTTACCAGAGCTCAGGCTTTTCCTCTGGAGAGCAGAATTAGTAAAAAACTGGTACAATTTGAATTGTAATGTTCTTCTCCCTTGTAAGTTTGGATCATGCTCTCAATGCCAGTACAATCGTTGAACTACTTACAAGAGAACATGTGTTTCAGTACTGAGCTTTTATTTGTACTATTGGATATTAAAACATAATAAGAGGCAGTGACTCCAGTGGCATTTTACCTATACTGAGCCATGGCTATATCTAATAATGGACTACTTTGTCCATTTGATTTAAAGACCTGCCTCAGGGCACTGGCACCTCTGCAGTAGATGCATTGCATGCCACATATAATAGAGATAAAAAGAAATTGGTACTTCCTATAATTTTAACCTGGATGCCTCAGGTGTGTAAGTTATTTTGTTGTAATGTGTACACACATAAAATTGTAAGGAAATGTCTTCACTTGCTCCTCTCAGTAAGAACATACGCAGCAACTTCTTGTTTTCCCCTCTTTAACCATTATGGTCTGCATTCATTGTGGTATCAAGACTTAAGAGAAAATACACAATGGTTTAAATTGTTTTTCCTTTTTATAGTACCCAAGCTGCTAAGTGCCTGGGATTGACTTTATCAGTAACTGGAAAGTGCTGTAGAGTTTCTAATTTACAAAATTTAGGATAATGTTAGAGAAGTCAGCTAATGGTCATCTACAGTCAAATATTTTCCAAATGTAGAAACTTTGTTGGTAATAAAAGCAAAATGAAACAAAACCCCCACAAAAAACCTTTCAGATTTTTGTTTTATACACTCATCTTTGTCTAAAAGCCTTTAGCAGTATGACTATGTAGTTAGCATTTGGTGTTATTTGCTAAGAAAGTTATTTGAGTAAATTTAGATACAACATTACATAAGTGATATTTATAATTTATATTGGTGCTGGAACTATTTGTAGTCATGTAGCTTTGACTTTCCAGTACACTTGTCACACATATCTAAAAGAGAGTGATACAATTTCTTTAACTGCATCATTATGGTTAAAGCAACAAAATTTGTAAGCTTGAAGTGGCCCTCAGACACAGTTTACAGGTCTGCTGCTTACTAAAAACTTCCAGTAGCGACGTCAATGAGAGTTGAAGCTTCTGCATTTGTTTTTTTAGCTAAAGAGAAAAAAAGAGAAAGAAGTTAGGTATAAGAAAGAAAATCAAAGCATCTACATTGATGCTAGGATTTTGCATGTGCCTTGGTTTTGGCACCTTCAGAACTGATTGCATATGAAGTGTACATGAAGCTTTAAAACTCAGATAAGCAAAGTACAGAAATACAGGAATTTGAACACAACCCCTTCCAAGTTACATTTACAGCTGTTTTTCACAATAAGACACATACATAGCTATGTGCATATATATATAAAAAATACTGCTGCAACTGTGCAGTGGGTCTATTAAATGTCATGCTCGTAGGTGAAGAGAAAGCAAAATTTTATATGTATATATATTTTTTTTTATTTTATTTTTTTAGTTTATGGAGTATTTTGTAAGTTTAGGACTCCTTCACAGCAATTAATGCAACCACACTAGGGTAGTTGGTGATGGTGAGTACCAGTTTACATAGCAGAATTTCAGTGCAAGGAGTCTTCATGGAAAATGTTATTATATTCTCCAGCTAAATTTGAATGAATACAACTGCATTTGTTTCTTCCCGAGAGGCATTTAACTCCTGTTGCAAAGGTTAATGAAGTACTGCTCATCATTTCTGCAGCAGCTCTCATAGCATCTTCCTCTTCCAGCTAGAGTCCTACTGCAGATCAAGCATCTTCTTGGGTATGAGAGGGAAAGTACTTACATCTAAACTTAAGAACTTGATGTTTGAACAAATAAGCTGTCATTGTAATTTGATGTTTGAGCAAATAAGCTGTCATTGTACTTGTTACTTCTGCTCATTATCTGTACATATTCTTTAGAAAATGGACTCTCACGTGGCCATCATGTTCTTTGTGTCTCTGTGTGTCACACAGACCCACACTTACTCCTATGCCACCTGAGAAGCATAAAAACATGACAACGAGGTCATAGAGAATTGTATTTGCCATGAAGAAAAATAAAAAACCATACTAGATTTCAGGCTTCTTTTTTTCCCCTAGCAGGCAAAAACTACTTCAGAAATAATTGTAAAAATTTACATTTCTGGTGATGCCACAGTAAATAAGCTTTAGGTCATGCTGGTTTGATTTGTTTTAACAAGTTAGGGTCTTTTTTGGGTTTTGGGGTTTTGGTGTTTTTTTCTCCCTGTTTGTTTGGCAGTTGCTCATAGGTTAGTTTTCTTCCCCTGTCTTAGGACTTCAGCTACAGTAGACATATAGAAATGATGAAATGGCAAAAATTGATAGTAAATAAATATTTTTAAAAACTAAATCCTGGTTTTAGTGTAAGTAATTGAATGTGCCTCTTCTTTTTCTTACAGAACGGTTTACACAGTATGGCCCTAAAAACCTTAGACAAGCCTGGAATAAGTAAGTATTTTTTTTTAATTGCATTTTTGACTCTTCAAGGATACGATTCATGACAAGTTGAAGTTATCATAGCTAACTTAAAATGGCTCTATTCTTTTCAAATAAAACAGATTTGTATTGCCAATTACCTGTAAATAGGGAGAAACTGCATAGCATTGTATTTTCTTCTTGGGGATGTTAGTTGACAAGTGTATTGAGCTCATGGAGAGATACTGTATTATTGCTTTGGGGTTTCAGTTTTGAATTTTTTTTCTCTGTTCATCTATAACAATTAAGAAACTTTTAAAGAATATATTGCTAATCAACTTTTGAGTGTTGTTTCCACATAATCATGCCCTGTCGCCAGGTCCATCTGGTCATACTGTGTTATATCTTAATTATCATGAATGAAAAAAGGTAATGTGAATTCACCATGCTTTTTTTTTTCTTTCAATGTTTCCTTATTTTTTCACATTTACATTAGATGGGCATGGATACATAGGTTTTATGTTCAAAATACAGATAAACCAGGGATGCCTATCCAATCATCTGTATAAAGGTTACTACTACAAAATTTCTCAGCATATGTAGAATTTTGTAAACAGGATATTTGGACCTCACTGTCTTGAACAACTAACATCCTTTATATTTTGAGAAAGCATACAGAGTTTGAGTTGGATGAGCAGGATCACAGCTATATCAACAATTTGTCATGCCAGAAAAATTGTTAGAATTTTTCTACTCTCTTTTGACCAAAATTTTTTGCAAAAAGGCTAAGCCTTTGCTGCACCAGCATTGCTGTTGTCTTTCTGGTACTAATTCAAAATTTTATTTTTGCCTCTAACTGGCTGTCTTGTTGGTAGTTTACCAGGGAGTTCAAGAGATGAATCAGCAGGAAACTAAAAGATCTCTAAGTTCACCACTGAAATTGAAGATACAAAATGTTTTGGTGAAGGAGCTTCCTTGCTATAAAGAAAGAAATTTATTTATATGAGTAGAAATCCAAATCCTTTTTCTATATATTAACTTATTAGCAATGAAGTGTGTCTACAAATGCAAAATCCATAGCATGGTCATTTGTACAAGGTGTGTTTAGGTTTATACTCACTTTGCCATTCTGTTATTTTTTCTCTATCTGCTCCTTCCCAAATCAATTCTGACTGAAACACAAAGGTTATTTTCATTTAAAAAAACCCACAATGACTTTTGAAATTGTGGTTGACTGAACAAGGAGAAATCTCTTAAGGTAGCAAGATTATTGTTAAAATTAGGTGTTAGTTGTTGGATGTGACACCATTGATGTTCATCCTTTGAGTCTAAACTTGTATTTCTGCAGTGCCAGGGATCTTTCATGACCTTGTACCTCACTTTGCAGTACTACTGGATCCTCCGTGGTTAGCAGTAACTTCCTAATTCCTGCAACGAGGCATAAAGCTGACACTGGCTTCAGTGCAGGCCTTCACAAAGGTTAAGTGTCACTGGCTTGCGTTAATTGACTTTTAACAGTCTATAGAAAAGTTCCTGGCTTGTGCAGTTCAAACTAGGAGCCTAATTTGGTGGGGTTTGTGGGTAAATCCATCTCCTATTTCCTGTAGATGGAGCAACAGGAAGATTAGCTTCACTTATACTTGGCTTTTGTGAAGATCTCAAACCACTTTGCCAGTTGTTGTGATCCTTGCAGGCATCTTACAATGTTTGACTCTACCTCAATCTTACTGCTTGGAATAATGCAATTTCCTGAAAGTCACAACTTTCCTTTTAAAAATGAAGTCACTATAATTGTCTGTATTCTGTCCCTTAACAATCAACAAACTTGCAAGTTCATTTTTAATTTGAAAGTAGTTAATGAAATCCAAAACCTTGGAAGAAGCAATTATATTACAACATAGGTAATTAGATCTGGATTGGGAAAGGACAAGGAAACTAATATTGATGTGAATGTGTTTCCTTGGGGGCATATATTTGTGTAAGTAATGCGAATAGATACTGGCATGCTATTCTATCCATCCTGCAGGCCTGGACTGAGCATTTCTATGTTTTACCAGCAGTTAAACTGTTAAAATATACAGTTATGTATTAATAAGTACAATAATGGGTTTGAATTTGAAAAGTTGCTGTCTTGTATTTCCTTCAAGAACATTACAGGAAATTTCTGTTTTCATATAATAGATTAAAAAAAAAAAGAAAAACAACCAGTTTGCTTAAAACAAAGCCTCGGTTACTCAAATTTCCTAATTGACACAAGTTGTGATCACATCACAGGCTGACTCAAATAAAACCATAGTTTCTTAAATTCTAAGAAACCTCTTCAAAAATATTTATATATTTTCTATGCTCTGTGCATAACGGATTTGCAATTTTTCAGCATAAATGAAGGGACTGAAAGACTGAAAGCAATGACAATACATAGAGTTCAGTGCTTCATTTGTGTAGTTCTACTGTAATAGGAAATATTCAGTGCCTCAAAATTATATATGATTCACATTTGAAATGTAAAGGATTTTCTCTTTTTCTAGTGTAAATCTTTATCTGTGTGCTGTATTAGAGTGCTGTTGCTTGCACAGCTGTGGTTAAGGATGCATAAACATTTCTGTTTAAGACATCATATTCCCAAGAGTTTATAATTCAGCTGTAAAACTTAACACATGGATAGACCGATTCATTCTAGAAATTTTCATTCTTTCTTATGGTGTTTCAAAAAGCAGCAATCTCTTAAAAAAAAATCCTTTTTAGCTTCCTGTTTTAATTGGTTGAAGATTGTTGATGACACAAAATATGTCTCATTTAGAATTGTTTTAAGGGTAGTTGGCAATAAACATGAGACCCTTGTGGTGAAAAACATACAGCCTTTTATTTTTAAATATGTATTGGTTTTGTTACAGAGTTACTTCCTCTCAACGTCTTAGTACCTTAGAAAGACATACCTTTTTTGGAAGGATTTACGTGTATGCTTAAGATGTTCTCCTGTTACTGCATTTTATAGGGGAGGGGTTGAGATAGAATGAAATTTAAGAATTTTTCACACAGAAATTGCCATAGGAACTGTACCACAGAGCACAACATTGAACTTCATGCTCCCAGACTGGAAGAGTACACCTTTAATTTTCTAAACACAATGAAACTTTCACTATCTACTCTTTCATCTTTCAGGCACAGGCTGGCCCTTTATCTTGTTTATATATATATATATGTGTTTTGAGGTCCTGGCATGGAAGGGTGAGAATGTGGGTTTAGAAGTCTTCAAAGAGGCTTTTACCTCAAAATTTGTGTTATAATTCAATTTATATAAGGGGAAGTTACTAGAAGGAAGAATAATACGCTTTTAACATCTACAGAGCCAGCTTCATGTCTGTAAGGTAGATGGAAAAGAGGCAAAAAAATCCAACCCCAAACTTCCGAAAAAGCCACAAATGGTAGTCTGGAAGCAAAATAATTGCACCTGACCAACTGTGCCAGCTTCTACAAGATATGAATTTTAAAGGCAAAGCAAGACAATGGAACAATATTGGACACAAGCCAATAGCTCTTTAATTCCTACTCTAATTGGAAATTAGCTAAAAGTATGGAATTTAACAGCAATGACAAAGTGAAACCCAGCAGGCTCATTATTTAAGTCAGATCCCTAAAATTCTTAAAATAGAATTGGTCAACATTAGAGGCGACTTCTGTGAAGTGTTTGAGGGAAATAATGTCACTCCCACAGTGAATTAAATTCTTTGGAGACTTCAACACCAAATTCCTTTACTGGTTGTCAAATTACTGAAAGATTATAGAGAGTATTTGCTAGATAAGATGGGGTCTACAAATTTTGTAGAAATGCTTATAAAGTTAGGAAACAAAAGTTGCATTGACGTTTGCTTCTGTCTAGTAAGAAGCTTCACCTACACAGCATGACCTAACATACTGTGGAATGTAATTATAAAATGCTGGTCTAAAAAGAACTAAGATGTGGTAATCTGATCTTCCTATAGAGTCCATAATGAATTATATTTTCACCTTTTTTCCTGAACTTTTCTGTTCAATTATCTCCACACAATAAAAACCAAGAACAGCTCTGCCTTCAGAATGCAATGCAACCTCTTTCAATTTGCAAAAGCTTCTCCACAATAATAAACCCTTACAGAAGAATAACAAAAGAGAACTAATTATCCTTGTGTATATTTGGTAGGATATAAAAAGCTTTTTCAGATCCTTCTGTCATAATGGGTTGTATTGTGAGAAATTAGGTTGGAAAGAAAAGGTGCAGTTAAAAACTAATTCTGCTCTGCATAAATAGGACTACTACTTCATAATTCCCCAACATGGCTGTATTTATTATATAAATATCACTTTATTCTCACATCCAGTCCCACTACTGGGGATTTCTTCCTTTAACAAGATGGCCTCTGTGCTTGAGACCTCCCTTCCTGAGGCCAGGGTGTTTAAAAGTTGCATTCCAGGATGGACTGCCCTATTTTGGGACTGTTACTCAGTGAAAACTTCCTGAAGAAAGCAAAGTGAGTGAATAGAGACGAATCCATGCATTTTGAGTCTGTATTTCATTTCAAGCATGGTACAGACTATGGAGTTGCTTAAAGCAGAGACTTGGAAAGTCTTTTTGGTTTGGGGTTCTCTTGTTTTTTTTTTTTTAAGAAAATCTTTGCCTTAGTGGGATTTTGGCTAAAGAAAAAGCACTTTTCTAATGGTCGCTTTTATCCCTTTACCTCTTGTCCCTTCACCAGCATTACTCATTGTAACTTAGTCTATCATTCCACTGAAGGAATACTCAAGCTCTCTAGCACAGTAGAAACAAAGAGCTTTAGTGTTGTCATTGCAGAAACCTTTCTGATGGATAAAGCCGACAAATAAGGATTTCAAGCAGTACTGAGCAAAGGTGGGCTGGCTGTATGCTCTGTGTGCAGTGTGAGCACATTGCAGGGGTGCGGGGGCTGGCCCCTCACTTGCCGGCCAGGAGGGATCAGGGATCACGCTGGGGGAGCAAGGATGGAAACTGGACACAAAATGAGAAGATTTTTTAGAAG